TCACCGCCGCCGCCCGGGCACGGCGGCCCCGGCCCGCAGCAGCCGTCCCGCCGCTCGGCCCAGCGCCGCCACCACCATGGCCGTGCCCAATGTCACCCGCACCGCCCAGCAACAGCCCCGGCGATTGGCGCGGGGGCCGCCTTCCGGGGCGGAGACAGCCCGCCGTACCGAGGTATCCCGGGAAACGGAGAGAGCCCGGGGCTCGGAGGTATCTCGGGAGAGGGAGGCAGTCTGGGGCACGGGGACAGCTCGGGGCACGGAAGTGTCTTGGCTCGGGCACGGCACGCACTGCCCCTGGACATCTGCCCCTCACTCCCCACAGCACTTGGGAGCGCCGGGGCCGCACCAAGGGCGGGTTCTCCGTGAGTTCTCCCACAAGTTGGCATGGCCCAGGCGGGGCGAGCTCCCCAGCCAGGCCGCTGCTTTTTGGAGGGGCGGGGGGAGGAGACGGCTCCAGCTGGTGGTGTTTAAGGGAAGGGCGAAAGCAGCAGCGCGTCCCTCTGTCCAAGCCTGGGCAGCCCGGCAGTCCAGCCCAAGCAGTCCGGTTGCGGGGCACGGGCGGCGTCCCGGCGGCGCCTCCCGCCATGGCGGGGCCGGGATGCGGGCCTCGCCCTCGGGGCCGGGCTGTCGCGGAGGAAGCAGCTAGTGCGGAGCCTCTTCCCGCTCTCTGGGCCGGCAGCCGGAGCGGGAACGCAGGGGCGACGCCTCGGCGTAGAAACAGCCAGCAGAGAATTCCCACCTGAGCATCTGAGAGAGTTTTGTTTTTCACTCCGGTCTTCTCTCTCCCGCAGGTGTTACAGCAGTGCCCCTGCCTGTTTATTGCTCGCTCAGCAGTGTTCCTGGGTCCAGGCTGCAGCCTGGTTTCAGTCCCGACACTTTGAGGAGGATGGAAAACCCAGCCTGCTGGTGGGTGGATGTGTTCACCGGTATATGCCAGAGCAAGGGTTGGAGGAATTCTGCCAACTTCTTGTGGAGAACCAGATGCATCCAGTAATGCACATTAGTATGCCTTCTGGGACGTTGAGGTGATCACAAAAGAAGCAAGCAAAAAATGATGGAGAAAGTACCCAGACTGCCAGGAGGGTCCTTTCAAGGAATCCAACACTCCCTCACTCCTCCTGACAAGGTATGATGCCAATGTCAGATTAATCCACACTTGTAGTTCCTCCTGAATCTTTATTGGGTAACACTCCACAAAGAACTGGACAAGAGTTTCTATGGTCCTCCTGAAGGTATTTTAAATAAGCAATACTACCTTCTCCATTTGTTAACACCACAAAAACCTAATATCCTCAGCTGAAGCAGCCGTGGATAGTGTAGTTAAGAAATTTTAGTTTCCCTGCTCATCTGAGCCATTTTCAGCAGCAGTTTACAGGGAATAGCAGCAAACTTTTCAACCAGTTTTTACTTACCACTTGCAACGTGTCGCAACCCCTGCAATGTGCTCCATACCGAGTTTATGTTTTTCCGTAAAAGCTGAATGCTTTGATACAAAGGTCATAGTTTTATTGTCAGCTCTGCCTTTCAACTGCCTTGTGTTTTGTCTTTCTGCCTTCTTGCAGTCCCTGGCATTCTGTTCCCTGTGTCCTTGTTCTCAAGCATCCCACGTTTCCCATCTTGCTCAGGCTGGATGTCTCCACTGTTGGCTTTGACCTGCAGAGGCAACTTTGTCCCCCTAGACTGAACCCCCACTTTCTTCACTCTTCCTTGACTTCAGGTCCTTTCATTGACCTTTCAGCTTTGCTTGCCAGGGGAGCTCAGAAGCTGTGTAAGCAGCAGCAGCAGCAGTGCACACGTAGCCACTGGCTGCCCACCCCTGCTACGCACCTAGCAGCTGAATAGAAACCAGGTGCAAGGGGGGTTTATCATATAGTTCTTACGTTTTGGGTTTTTTTCATGATCCTTCTTTCCAAACTTTATTCTCAAAATGAAAAAGATTTGTGGTGAATTTACAGATAAGCAGCATAGTACTACAAGATATGGTGGAAGAATTATGGAGAGAAGTAATATAAACTGAAAGTAAATTTCAATTTTGTAGACAATATTCCTGTTTAAGTATTTAAATGATCAAAAATCATGCTCATTTTCTGCTTCCATCTCCTCCTTCCAGGTGAGCTCCACATCCATCTCACATGTCCAGTGCTGCCACTCAGCCAATAAAGATTCCTGCAGCTCTGTGCTGCCAAGATGTCCAGTAACACAGTAAGCTCATAATCTATATTATGCTTTTCCAGTGGGTCACTGGAAAAGCAGAGAAGAAAAAGCTGGGAAACAAAGACAGTTATTGCAGGGTGGGGGTTTTGTCCCATGTTGATTTAGTTGGTTTGCACTGCAGTAAGTTGCAGAGTATCTGTTGCCAGGCTTTCCATTTGTTGTGTTTTTGTTTTCCACAGCTGTTGTGTTTGTGCCTGGAACCCAGGTCCCTTTTGCATGCCCTTGATACCCTCAGCAAAAAGAAATTTCATTGGTTCATCCCTGGAGGCTTCCCATGTCCTGAAAGGGGCTCGTGTGTTGGCAAGAACAGAAACTGATGGCTATTACTACCTGGGCCACCTTGTCGAGGAGGTGAAGGTAGCTATTTATTTGGAACATGGCTGTAAGAGCATGTGTGGCTTTTTCTCTGTTCTTCCCATACTCACCAGTCCCAAGCCCTTGCTGTGGGGTGGCTCTCCAGTGTCACAGTGCATTTCCTAGCCACTGTTGCCTCCCCACACCCTGTTTTCATCTGTTACCTGGTGCTGTCTGGCTGCTTGCTGTGAGGAGTCCTGCAAGTAAGAACAGCCTGGAGACCAATCTGTTTTTGTAGTTATAATGAGTTTTTATTCAGAGGCAGACAAAACAGGTCCCTTATCCCTGTTGTCTACTTTTGCCCAGCCTAGCAGCAGAGTTAGTTAGCTAAACAGCAGCTAGTAATCCAGAATGTTTGTCTCCAGGGTCCACTTCCTCTTCACGGAACTGAGAGCTTTCCTCATTCTTTTCCATCTGTGTTTCTGGGAATTGTGAGATGATTTTGGATGCCAGATAGAAAATCCCCCCTGCAGGTTTTCTTTTAAAATCCAGTTAATTTTGCAGGTTAGTTAAATAAATTTGCTGATATAGGTGAGGATATCTGTAAGCTTCAGTGTGGGGTAGAACAGATTGGTACAGCTATAGGCACAGGTGACATCAGCTGGAGTAGGAGCTGACAGTATTACTTGTTTAAGTGCACTCAGAGATCTGCAGAGAAGGCTGAGATTCTGACAGTAGATCTTGCCCTCACTTGCTGCTGAAGGTTTCAATTAAAGTGTTTAAATTTATGACAATTGTGACTTTTTATTGCTTTGTTACCCTTCTGATTGCTGAAGGATTGTTTGTTATCCTTTTGATTGTGGTGAACTGCATCATACAGTTTCTTTTTGCTGCTCTTTTTCTTGTCGGAGGTTTTCCTGGTAGAGTTCTGCCTTAGCCTGCTGATTGTGTTCTTACGAATATCTAACTCCAAAGTGAAAGGAAGAAAAAGCTTGTCAGCCCCTTAAGCCCCAGCTTTTTATTTACTTTTAAAGTGGTCTGGACACAGTACAGTGAAACCCTGGTAGAAGAGGAAAGCTGCATTCCCAGATCACATTCCAGTTTCTGGGATTTCTGCCACTTCCTTCTTAGCCTTTAAACTTTGCTGTTAACTGGACCTTGCAAATTGCCTTGCAAACCACATGTTTTACTCTTGCAGGGCTCCAGGGAAGGCTTTTTAGTTGAGTTTGACCGAAGTCGTGCTCTGAAGGGCCAGGTCGAGCCTGGCCGGCAGGAAACACCCCTCTATGACATTCTGCACTATGAAGACGCCCGGCGACAGCCTCTTGCTCCAGGGGACAAGGTCTTGGCACCATGGGAGGCTCCAGCCAAACGTTTTGGCCCTGGCACTGTGCTAAGGGTTGTGGAGAACACAGAGGCACCTTTAGGTACCTGCTTTAGGTGTTTTGGTTTTCTTAGCAGCACTGCACTCTCCACGGGAGCTGGTCACTGCAGGGAAGAGAACAGGCTCCAGCACAGAGAATTCACCTCCTACTGCTTCGGTTCTCTTCATCGTGTTTTTATTGTTGGCACTAAGCCACCTTTTGAGGGTCAGAATTAATGCAGCTCACAGGATTTGCCTTTGCTTTGTTCTGTGGGTGAAAACTTCCTAAAAAGTTAGGGGTTGGGGATAGCATTCTCCCAGCACAAGTCAAAAACTGTTCCTGATCCTCCTGAGGATCACCTGATTATCTGTTAGTCTGCTTACCAGGTATTTCAGGGTAAAATCCCACCTGCTGTGGCAAGTGAGATTTTTTTACATCTGCTGTCTCCTTGCAGGAATTTCAGGAGAAAGTAAAATTTTAAACGTCTAAAGAATAAAATCATGGAAGTTGTTACAGAATTGTCTGAAACACAAGTCATTACTTTTATGTCCTGCTCTCTATGAGATAAATCAGACTGATTGACTTGCTGCTAATACATTACTTGCCCTTTTTTTTTCCCCAATATGCACAGCACACAATGAAAGGGGAGTGCTTGTGAATTTCTGGAATGGGCAGACTAAGGAGGTCTCTTCTGCCCAAGCTCTGCGGATTCCTCTGCCCCTAAGCGAACGCATCATCCTGGAGCTGCAGATGCCTGTAGCAGCCAGGCAGATGGTGGTAGATTCAAGCTTGGATTACCCATACCATGTGGCACCAGGTTATAGAGCCTCAGGGCACTACAGACAGGGTCACCTGGGCCTGGATTGCTGCCCAGAGCCTCTGTATTCCACTCATCCCTGTGCCAAGTGCAGCTGGGGGTGTACCTTTCTTCCCCACTGCTGCCTTGGAGCCTGGGAACCCACACGGCCTGCAGAGTGCAAAGTGTGGCAGGAAAATGCCTTCATCCCGAGAGCAAGCCTGACTGAAGAAAAGCTCAGGAAGAAAATTAAACAGGAACTGTCTGAATTGAGGATTGCTTCTTCAGAAAGTGTTTCCAGAGAGGAAGAGAAAAAGGAAGAGAAGAGATTAGAGACAGAAAACATTCCAGAAGATGTTAGGTCTTGTTTGGAAGAGGACCATGAGGTTATAGAAACTGAGAAGGTAAAAAGTAGTTCACCCTGGCTCTACTGTTAATAAATGGTCTGCTATTTGTGTAAATACCAGCTTTGTTACTGCAAATTTACTACCCTTGGTACCAAGCTAGAGGTTTAAGGCCTTATGCTTTCCTGCTAAAGAATGTGGAGACTTTGCACTGCCTTCCTTTGACTGGGATAAGGATATTGTCAACAATCTGTCATTGTCCCTGGCTAGAGCAAGCTTCTAGAACTTCTTCCATGGATGCACAATATGAGAAGTGTTGCATAACCCAGTCCCTCTACATTCTGAATGAAGGAGGCGATGGCAAAAAAAAGTGTCAGAAGACTTTGCACTGGATAAGGATTACTGTAGATATTGTTCCATACCAAGGCAGTCTTTTGCATGATTCTTTTAACATACTTCTCCACCCTGTTAGAGGTGTCCTCTCTCCCAGTCAAGGACCACAAGAGACTTAAGCAGTCCTCAGCAGCTGATTTGGTGCTTGTGAGCAGGGCACTGGGTGAGGATCAGCAAGGAGGAGATTCATGTGCGCCAGCTACTGCCACACTTATCTCCATTGCTGTGCAAGGGTTAGAATCCAAATTCTGGCACGTGTCAGAAGCAGGGCTGTCTTTCAGTCACAGCTCCTCTGGCCTGATCTCTTTTGTACCAGTTTGGACCCTTTCAGGCAAAAATACTTTGGGTCATTTGGAGACATAGGGAAACTCGGGAAGTTATCAGAAATTACCTATGGATTGTTTCTTTAGTAAAGAACTCTCCCAGAATTTGGTTTTTTTCATTCTCTCCTGAACTTCAGTTACAATTTAAGATCTTATGCTGTAAACTCATTAAATAAACCTATTCTTTTCCTTATCAGGTCTGATTATGGTTGCATTTCTTGTTATTTCTAGGGCCCTCAGAGGGAGATGGCTCATGCTGTGGTTGATGCTGCTGTCAACACAGACAGCTGGTTAATGGAGACAGATCACAAGGAAGAAGCAGAGAGCAGACAGCAGGATGCTGAAACTGAAGCTAATTTTGAACATGAGCATGGTATTGGAACTATAGCACTTTTTACCCAAACATAAGACTTAGCACATAATATCAGTGCAGGATGGCATCATGTGTAAGATCTGCCACCATAATTCTTGGTGCTTTACAAGAAAATACCATAATGCCATCTATATATATAGGTATTAGTGGTGCTATGGCTTGAGAAGTTATTAATCTTCTCTCAAAGTGAAAGAATTTTTCAGACGGAACTTGAGATTTTTTGGCTTTTACAGCTCATCTACTGCAGTAGCAGCTTTTGGGGGTTTTAACCTATATCATAGAGCTCAGTATAAATAAAAATTTCTTTACTTTAAAAATGAATATTTTAACATTAACAGTGACTGTGTATAGCAACAAGATTTCACCAGGACTTTTCTGCAAAACAATCCTCTTATCTGTGCTGGAAATTACTGCTTTATAATGTCACTGAGTAGAATTTTGTCCCCTGAACAGCCAAAAGGGGCTGGATCATGATTTTGATCAATTTGTTGCTGTTCTCAGCTTTGTGACAATTGCAGACATCTAAGAGAGGATTCTGAAAGCCTATAGCTTTCTCTGTTATTTCTTTGTGACACTGCTGGAAGAAGGAGAATAAAAAGTCAAACAGGAGTACACATTTCCTCCCAGCTGGTGTTCCAGCATCATTCCATGCAACAGCTGCCACTCAGGTCTGCCCTGTCCTTAGCAGAAAGGTGTGAGCAAACTCTGCCTCTGTTCTCTGTTACCCAAAAGCTGTGTTAGCAGGGTAGTGCCCGTATTAATGTTACCTGTCTCTCAGCAGGATGTGGAGCTCAGGCATTGCCCTATCAAAAGATTTATCATTTTTATTCATCTCAGAGCAGTTCATGCCAGTCTGTGAGATGCCACGTAAACAATCCTTTAGCCTGAGTAGCTGTAAGAAGTGCCAGGCAAAACTCAGTTTCCCAGGCCAAACTCTAGCCTAAATGCAATGGCAAGCTGGTTTCTGAAAAGCTGGAACCTCTTTTGTGGAGACTAAAAACTGTCCCACTTCCTCCTAGAAAAGTGTTACAAAATCCTTGCTTGAATATATTTCATATGAGCAGGGCTTTTGTTCTTTTAATTTGCTTTCTTTTTATAAGCTTCCTATATTCTCATATGTCCTTGCCCTAATTTATTTGAAAGGCCTTGTTGAGTCCAGAGTGGCAGACGCTCCAGTCCAGCATTCCCAGAGGAGCCCTTCCCTGGGAAGCAGTGCTTTGGTTCCTTTCAGGTGCCAGAGCTTCTTTGCCCAGGTGAATCAATCACTGGAGAAAGACAGCCTGACCATCAGATCAGCCCTTTGTGTGCAGAGACCCCACAGTACCACCCACCTGCTGGCTGGGAGATCCACACATCTCCCAAACCTTCTAAAGGACAAAAGCATCACAGTGAGTATTTAAGTTTAGTTCTTAGGATGACGAGATTTGTTTGTGTCATGTGGGAATGTTCTCTCCTTTGATCTTTCACAAAGGTTTTTGCTGCAACAGAAATTATGCCTGTGTAGAATAATGGTTATGCATAAATAGAAACTTAAGGACTCCACTTGGGAGCCCACATTGTGCAGGCACGTGTGGTGTTTTTGCTCAGAACTTTGGACAGAATGCTTTTGTATGTTAGATCTAATCTCTTCTAAATAAGCTTCTCAGCCAGCTCTACTAGATAGCAAGAAAACAAACAAACAAAAAAATTTCCTCTTTTACAGATACTGAAAGCAAAAAAAGAGAAAGTTTAGGCAGTCATCTGAAGCCCACAGCAAAGAGTGCATGTTAGGGCGGGGGTGGAGCTAGGAGTCTCCTGATCCTTAGGCTGGTACTTTCCCTGCTGGAAAACATCATTTGTTCACCTCCCACCTACCAAACACCTTTGATTCTTTCTTTGATCTCTCCTTGTGTGTGTCATTAAACACACCCACAAGGTACATTTTTTTGCTAAGAATAGCAATACACTGGAGAGCAAAGCTGTTTACAGCCACTGGGAAGCCATACAGATCAATGTGTTAAGAGAAACCTGTCAAAATGCTGTGTAAGACTGACAGGAACATGATTTGAAAGTCCTGTAGTGTTTTCCAGCTTGTGATATTTGAGTTGTCCCCAGGAAAGTACTGGAAAGAGACATTCTGTTTGCAGAGGAGCAGCTGATAGCAGGAACATGGTAACTGCTCTTGGGAATAGGAGGAAGGAGGATGCATTTGACAGAGGAAAATATTTTGTGGGAACTCTGTTCCAGCTCCACACGGCTCTAGCGATGTAAACTGGAATACATGTCTAAAGGTTTGGTGGTGTTCACTTGCACTTGCCACATAAAGGACACTGTAAGAAGTACAAAAACAAATAAATATTTCACCATGGCTGTGAAGAGGCCTTGTAGGTGTTCCTTCATCTCTGTACATGGCACAGGCATTTAAAAACACAAATCAGCAGCACTACAGCATTGAAATGGAGCTACTGCTGAAGAAAACACAAAGACTGCTGGAGCCAAAAAATCTCCAGTTCCATCTGAAAATTCTTTCACTTTGAGAGAAGATTAATAACTTCTCAAGCCATAGCACCACTAATACCTATATATATAGATGGCATTATGGTATTTTCTTGTAAAGCACCAAGAATTATGGTGGCAGATCTTACACATGATGCCATCCTGCACTGATATTATGTGCTAAGTCTTATGTTTGGGTAAAAGAGTTATAGTTCCAATACGGGTAGAAATCTCAGACAACAAAAGGTGAAGGGTTGGAATACCTGCAGAGAACTCAGGAATGTTTTGGGTTTGGCCAGATGGGGGCAGGTATTTCTCTTGCTCATAAAATCTAGTAAGGAATTTGTAATGTTTTATGGTCAGAACCTGGATTTTCCATCCAATCCAGAAGCTGACCCAAAAACTGGGGAGTTTTAAGCATTGGCTCAACACCAGAACAGCACAGCCTACTGACCTATGGAGAACTCTTAAGACTGGATGTTCAGGCACCTCTTTGTTGATTAAGCCTAATGTTTTCTACAGGTTTTAGTATCATCCTCAGTTTTTTCATGGATGGGAATCAACACTAGAATATTTGTGAACCTTTGTAGCTTCTAGGCCTCAGGAGTGACATTGAAACTGGGCTGTTCTGGTTTTGTGTGCTTACAGTGTGCATTAGAAAAATATACTGTTGGGACTAAGGGTTCTGTTTGCTTTTTTTCTTATAGAAATCATTCCTTAGTCATGCATCTCAGAAGAAGTGGAAGGAGCTGGACTTCAGCAGAGCAAAGATTGAGCACAAAAGGTGGCAAGAAAAACAGAGGCAGCTGAAGAGGGAGCAGCAGAAAGAGGCAGATGGCACCCGACGCCAGCTGCACAGGGACAGCCAGAGGTGATGCTGGGAGCTGACTGCTTTTTGTGCTAAATGTTGGAAGGTTGGTAACATCTGCTCCCTGCTGCTCTCCTTCAGTCCCTGCACGTCCCACCTTGTGCTTTTTGCTGGGCTCTGCAGAGGGGTCACAGTGGTTCCCTACTGGGAATAAAATTGGTGCTGGAGGTGGAAGGGAGTGGGTACATAGCATTATCTCCAAGGGCAAATTCCCTTCGGTCCTGTTCTCAGACCAAAACTGCTGACATCAGGCACCAGCCCATTTGGGGCTTTTGCTACCTCTGTTCTGGACACAGGTTTAATCCTCATAACTTAACAAAGAGTCCTGGAATGTTAACTGAACACAGATTGCCAAAATATCTGCTTTGTGTCTTATGCACTGTCTTTAATTTTTATTGCTCTTTCTTTATGAGAAATTTGAGAAATTTTGTTTTGGAAACAGGCGACGATTGCATCAGAGAATATTGCAAGGGCTGGAGAAACAGCTGGAACCCAAAGAGAGAGCTTTGCAGCACATGGCACTGCTCCAGGCTGCTGGGGCTGAGAAGAGCAGGAAGGAATCCTTCTTTCAGGGGGAGGAGGAGAGGAAGGCAAGGCAGAGGCTTCAGTTCTTAAAGACACGGCATTTGCAGAGAGAGGAGTTGCAGGCAGAAAGCAACAAAAGGAGCTGTGAACAAGAGAAAGAAATGCTGGTAAGGGCAGTTCCAGAACTTTTTTTTTTTTCTGCCATGTTTCCAGCAGTGGAAGTATATATACAAATATCTGGAGTATTTGTATATTTCACCTGTTTTACATCCAGTATAACTATCATTTAGAAATAAAAAAGGGTAACCTTTTTTTGACATGTGTTTAAAGATGAAAAGTGGAAAGTAAAATTCCTTATCTCTGCCACAAAAGAAGTTTTTCTGCGTGCAAGAAACTAATTTCCATAGATTATATCAATTTCTGACTAGTGAGAATCATAGTAATGTAGGATGATTTGGATTGTGTTCATCTAGTCCCAACCTCCCTGCCATGGGCAGGGACACGTTCCACTAGACCAGACTGCTCAGAACCCCCTGTCCAACCTGCCAGGGATGGGGCATCCACAGCTTCTCTGGGCAACCAGTGCCAGTGCCTCTCCACTCCCACAGGAAAGAATTTATTCCTAATATCTAATCTAAACCTACTCTTTTTCAGTTTAAAGCCATTCTCCCTTGTCCCATCACTCCACATCCTTGTAAAAAGTCCCTCTCCAGCTCTTGTAGCCCCTTTAGGCAATGGAAGGTGCTCTAAAATCTCCACAGAGCCTTCCCTTCTCCAGGCTCAACAACCCCAGCTCTCAGCCTGGCTCCATAGCAGAGGTGCCCCAGCCCTCTGAACATCTTTGTGATACTCCTCTGGACTCACTCCAGCAGATCCACGTCCATGCTGGGGGCCCCAGAGCTGGACAGAGATGAAAAGTGAAGATGAAATTTGGCATGAAGGCTGACTGTAGAGACATTCAAAGTTTTGAATGTCTTTATGTAGGAGTTGCTGAGGAGCAGAATGCAGTCATGGCAGGAAGTGCTGGAACAAGAATCCCAGGAGCAGGACAAACAGCAAAAGCAGCACCAGGCTGCCAAAGTGAGAGTGTTCCAGAAGAGAGAGAGTTCTCATCTGAAGATGAAAAAAGGCCAGAAACTCTGCCCTGCAGCAGTACTTCAGGGAACAGAAGCTCCTGCTGCTCCAGGCATCCCTGCTCGCCTAAGGAAGCTGCACAGTGGGTGAGCAGGGCCTGGAGCAGTTCACAGACCTGCTGTGTCCTGTCAACTCTGAGTCAGTGTGCCAGAGCAGAGTCGTGACGGGTGGCATTTGGATTCCTGGAGAGGTCTCTAATCTCCCTGTCACTGCAGCCAGAGTGCAGTTCCACTGCTCTGTCCTTGACCTGCCTTTCATCCTGGGGTCACTGGCTTCCCCCTCCCCTGAGAGGGAGCAGCAGGGGACATCTAGAGGCATCTCTGCATCAGAAAGGAGGGTTTTTACTGCATTGCACTGTGGTGAGTGGAGGCGCCAAAGGAGAGGAGGAGGAGGTTAAGCATGTCACATCCTGAAGTGCTCCCTCTTCCTCTTATCATCTGAGGTACAAAATTCCCTGTGGCTGTGCCCCAGGAAATGCACTGATCAGCTCTGGGTAACCAGAAATTTCAACCAGGTATTTAAAGGAGAATGGACATAGCACAATTTATTTGCTGAAACAGCCAGGGCTATATGGAAATATCTTTATTTTACACAGAATTATGCTAAAATGAATACAATATATGTGATACCTTGTTTCAAGTAATGCCTAGAAACAAACTAGATACAAAATTTCAATTTGGCCTGACATTCTGTGTACACTTGGAAACATGATACACATTTTCTGGCACATTATAAAAAATTATGCCTCCTTCTAGAATACAGCAACAGTGATAATGGCAGTTTCTTAAAAAAAACAAAGAAAAAAGTAAAATTAAGAAAACTTGTAAAAGGCAGCTCCTTTGAAATCCTGCCAAATCTGAATGGCCAGCAGTTTCCAAGCAGTAAGTGTCAGAATGCATTCCTCCAGGGATAATAGAGAGGCTATGCCTTCAGCTTTTCCCTAAAAAGACAAAGTTAAGTCTCTCTTCCAGATGTTTACAAACTACTATGAGACCTTAATAGCTAAAATGGGTATTTTTAAACTTCAGTATCCATAATGTAGGTGCATGAGCCATCCTGAGATTTTTGCTTAAAGAAAAAAAAAAAGGAAAAAGGAAAGATGAACTTAAATAGAATTTGAAGGCTTTAACAAACAAAATGTCAGAGTTAAGGTCTGAAAAAAGTATAACTTGCTTGAGATTATGGAAACTACATGTGAGGTACAGTTTTGCATTTTAGACATGAAATCCCATCATTTGGAACAGTTTCCACTCGGTTGAGTGTCTGGAAAAGTTGGCTGGGATTTGCTCAGCAAGAACATGGATGGTTGTGCCCCTGACCTGGCACACACCCTGCTGAGGGAACATGGGTGCCAGTGGCACATGAAGCTTTTCTTCAGGGTAATGTTAGGGGGGGTTGCTTCTCTTCTTGTTTGGGTTCTGTCTTACATAAAGTCTTGTGCTGGCTAGGACGATGCTCTGCCTGCTTATGACTCTAACTAGACTTAAAGAAACAAGCCTCAAACTTACAAGGTGTTAAACCCTACTCCTGATTTTATTCTTATGCACTTGGAAATGGAATATGCAATGATTAAAGGAAAGTACATGAAATATACTGAGCTGAATCTAAACTTATTTTTCAGACTTCATTTATATGCTATTAATCATTGCTTTATAATCACCATAAAAGAGCAGATTGTCTGCTTATGCACTTTCTCTTCATTACTTAACCACCTGAGAACAGACCACTGCAGAGACCCTGGTCTACTGCTATTTCACACAGGGTGGGTCTGGGAATATATTCAGTACCACATGATTTCCAATTATTCACAGACTGTATTTCTGTATTAAAATGCAGCCATAAAATCATTTTAATACTGCTATTAAAATAATTGACTGTAAATGCCACATGTAATCCAGCTCTTCTGCTAGCTTTATTTTATTTTAAACATTCACAGTGTGGTTTTGATTCATCAGGAAAAGGCTTGGACTCTGGTTTGAAACCTGCTGGGAAACAAACCGTGAGAATCTGCATATCAGTTAAGGTTCTGAGTAGAGTGGAACCAGGGGAGCACCAGAGAGGGTAGTAGAGAAAATCGCACAAAGAAGAAAAAAAGAAACCTCTTAAGTTTCAGAAACAGAAAAATTAAGACCAGGACAAATATTCCCAGAAGTTGTTTTTTTATTATGGAATTAAGTTTTTCTGCCTAGGTAAGTATTTTATTATGCTGTTTATAATCCAAACTCCTATCATAATGTACTAGAGTACAGAAGTTTGAAAAAAAATTTAAATGGTCTGGTTTTGTCATCCAAAATGACTAAGAGCAGACCACTACATGCAGAATGTTAGGACACTTCTACAATAAAAGCAGAAGTTAAAAGTACAAAAGACAAACACATTTATTGGTTTTTTCAGCCTGAATGTGTTGCTTAGGTGATGCTAGAACATCATTTCTCATACCACAGTGCAGGTAAATCAGTAAATTAAATATTTAATCTGATGTATTTTAAAACAGACTTGATCAATTAACATCTTTCTGAAGATGTTTTTAAAAAATACCAGAGCACATTAGCTCTTAGAACTGTGCAATGAGTGGGAAATGTCCAATTGTGCAAATTCTTCCTACTTTCTGGAATAGACCTTCTGATCATCCCATGCCTGGTGCTTGGCTGAAATGACTGAAGGCAGCATTAGTGGAGAGCAACTACTGCTCACCAATCCCTGGGGTACCCGTGACTCCTCACCTGCAGCTTCCTCCATGTCAGCTCACGGGCAACACAGGTAACCCCCCACAGGGAGAGGGCAGCAGCCACAGCAGTCTATTTGAGGGCAGAAGCTGCAGTTTTGATGAGCAGTGGCTTAGCTGCCTCCAGGATGTCCAGTTCAGGGTCCAGTGAACGTCCCAGTCCTTCCAGAACCATGATGGCAAAGATGATGGAAGCAAAATTGCTCTCGAGCTTCACCTAGAACCACAACAGACTGAATGGACTTGGTGGATATTATTTTCTTCTGTACCCCTTCAACCAAGGCACCAGCTCTGCCTATACTGGGAGGGAAGGGAAGAGGCTGGGGAGAACATTTGCACACCTGAAACTATAATGCAACTCCACTAGTTGGACTGTGCAGCCCTGTGGCTGACAACCCCAGTACAAGCCACCACAGGTCTTTTGATTTCCAAAGTTGCTTGCAGCTGTGGAAATTTGTCCCCCAAATAATCAGTTATAAGGAGGTATCTGTAGTCTAAGGGACTATAAAAAAGGTAGCAAAAACTATGTGTTACAAAAAATACTCCTTTTAGTAGACAATATCAACCATTAAATGAAGTATTAAGACAAAAAAAAAAAACAACAAAAAAACAACAAAACAAACACCACCCCCCCAAAAAAAACCCAAACCCAAACCAGAAATTAGGCTTGGCAGAGTGTGTATAAGACCTGAGAAACAGCATGCCTGCAACACTTGGATGCATTCCTGCAGTTCCTCTCCTAGCACTCCTAGCAGTTTGTTTTAAAAGTCAGTCCCCCTCCTTGTTAGCCCCTCATGTTCCCAGTACTCCTTCCCCAGATGAACTTTCAGCTATTAAAGGCAGACAGGGACAGGACCTCACCTTATGGGTCATCAATAGTTTGAAGACACTTGAAAGGAGATTTCCCACCTGAAGCTGGAATACACAAGGAGAATTTTAACAGCTGACCAAAAACCCTTTTTGTTTCAGTTTTCAGTGCCAACTGGCACTGAATTACAGGTAAATGGGACTGTGACACGGTACACTTGCCTTGCCCAAGGCAATGGTGTTCCCCCGGACCTTGGTCACAAGCTCTGCCATCTCAGCCTTGAAGCGCTCGATGTCCTGGCACTGGTTGGCACGGGCATGGTGGAGGATCAGCTCTGCCACCCTCTCCCCCTGAGAAACAAGTTGAACAGCACAAACAGTACCTGATCACTGGCGACTTGCAATCAGATGCTCGCAGTTCTTGCTTTTAGTTGCTGGGAAGTGCCCCTGGCAGCATAGGATGAGCCTGGATACAGGGTTTAGCATGGATTCTTTGGCATGCTTCAGCAGACCAAGACAAAATGTGTCCCTATTGAGCTGTGTTAGTGAGCCCTTCACCCTGCAGCTGAGAGACAGCAACAGGCAAGTAGGAGCATAATGCTTGTTCCCAGAATGAACAGGAGACTCCAGCACTGGGTTCTCTAGTCCACCTGACAGTGAGTTTCAAGGGGGGAGGAGGATAATGTAGTTCCCCTCACATGGAGGAGCCTAGCAGAGGTCAGACCCCTCCACACACACACGTTTTCCTTCCTCTCTATAGATGCTGACACAACAGCAAAGTGGAGGAAGGCATATGGGCCTTCCAGCAGCAAGGCTGCAGAGAGGAACATGTGGGGCAGATCAAGATGTTAACCCATTCCTTCCTCTTCTGTAGCAAAACTTGACAGATTCTGCAACAGTGGCACCCAGGCAGTCCTAACTTGCAACAGAATACTCCTAACCAGGAAGGGGCAGCCAATACTTCCCATTTATCCAGGGGCCCAGAAATTGCTCCACTCTGGCAGCCTTCTTGCTACAGCTGAACAACTTATCCTTGTGTTTGGGGATAAGCTAGCAAGGGATAAGCTAGCAAGGCTCCTTACCCCTCTTGGCATTTCAAGGGGAAATAGAAAACTCTCACTACGGCCATCGGATTCCGCAGCCATCTCCCTTCCCCAACCAGCCCCATGCCAGAGAGGGGCCTCACCTGTCCCTGGACCACAGCTGTGAACACGGCACGGAAGTTCTGCATGTCAGCGCTCTGCAGCTCCGCCACGATCCCTGCGTCCAGCAGCACCAGGCGCAGCTGCCGCAGGGGTGGCTGCACCTCTGGCACATGGGTGTCACACAGCTCTGGCACCCGGGTGTCAAACACGTCTGGGCGGGTGCTGCCTTGAACTAGGATGTTCCCGGGGTGCAGGTCGGCGTGGACGAAGTTGTCAATGAAGATCTGGAGGACAGGTAAGTGTGAGAGCAGCTCGTTCCAAGCAAACCTGGTGACACCAAAAGCCCCCAGGCGAACGGCAGAGGGTTGTTTGTGGTCTGTTCTCTGTCATTACCAGTGATGGGGCATCACCCTGGGCAGCACCACAGCAGGTGGCTTCAGCTGGAGACCAGCTCGGGTACTCAGGAAGTCAGCAGAGCTGTGTGAAGCAATCCAGTGTTTGCTAGAGGTCAGGTAGGACAGCCAGGAGTCCCAGCAGGGAATGGCAGTGCCCCTTGGCAATTAGCCCTAAACTAGGGCACAGTGGTGGGCCTTAGCAAAGAGTAACGCAGTAAGAATAGGCTGTTTGCCATTCAGTGACAAAGGTTACAGTGAATGGTTACGTTTGTCTAGTGCAGGACACCAACCCACATTACAACTGTATTGAAAGGTAAGGAAAACAAGAGAAGGGGAAATAAATCTGTGTAGCTCTTCTCTGACTCTGCTAGCAGTTAGCACCAAAAAGGACTGGCAAGAGGACAAGAACCAAACAGTATTCCCCCCACCCCGGTAACCTGGGACTGTAGGACTTCCAGCCCCAAAGAGATTATCTTTGCATTTAATGGATTTCTATGAATTTTTTTCAACTGCCATGTAAATAATTAGACCTGTGTGAAAAAATATGGTTTTGGTGTTGCCTGAAAAAAATTACTTCTACTAATTTTATGTCCTCCTTATTGAGAAACCCTACACAATAGATCCATATTCATTCTCGTGCACTCATGACTGCATAATCTTTGTCATAAGCTACTCATCTTTCTGCTTTCCAGAGTTAAGAGTCCAAATTATTTCACCATTCTCGTATGGAAGCCATTCCACATGAGTAATCATCCCATCTGCCTTCCTCTGCACCTCTTCTACTACAGCCCTTGCAATGGAGGTTCCTGGGCATCAAGGGACTAGAACTGCAGAGTACTCTAGAAAGAGGTATTTGTTTTATTTACAGAAAAAGTTGTTTCTTTGCCCTTTAATTCTTTCCAACTCCTAAAATTGGAAGCCGATCTTAGCATAAAACTATTCTGGTTCCAGCATTGCTTTTCTGAGTGGTGAAAGCTATTTCAGAGCCTGTCATACTACCTGGAGCCAGAAGTGGAGGTTCACTCTTGCCCTAGCACAATACTGCAGTTAGCAGCAGCATTTCATCTGATACGCACTGCCCACACACTCAGTACTGTCAGGAGCTTTTGCAGCTCTTCCCTGCTGGTTCTCACAGCCCCTCACAAGACACTTGTACCACCGTCTCAAAACTCCTTTCCAGACTTTCTGGGATTATTTCAGCCACAGAAGAACTAGATAGCCAGAAGCTGAACCTGGCCAAGTTTGTTGTCTTTACTACAGGTTTAGTTCTCCCTAACAAAAAGGCAGTTTTAGAGGAGTTGATAAATCAAGAAATCAGCTCATTGTTTTCCCTCTGAGTCACATCCACAATCTCTGCAGAGCACATGACATTTGCTAATAATGTAGCACTTTAAGGTACTTGGGTAATAGGTGAATATTCATTGAATAGATTGGTGGGTGTCCTAAGCAAAGACTGACCAAGATGCACAGGCCAGTCCTACTGTGTGCAGGCAGATGGCCCCTCTGCAGTGGCAGAGCTCCTTGTCAGAGCCTCAGCAGGGCCGAGTCCAGCCCAGGCTTTACCCAGACCAGGTACAGGTAGGAAGCAAATGGGTTCTCTCTTCAGCCTCATTGTCTTATTATCCAAACTGAATAGTTTCTGCAGGAAAACAACCTTCTCTTGCAGCCCCAGCCAAATGCCTACCATCTTTAGCAGCATGTCCATGCCCATCCTGGCCAGTCTCTGCCGTAGCTCCGTGCCAATCTCCACGTGCAGGTAGCGTGAAATGGGCTCACTCTCCTGAAACAGAGACAGAGCTGGAGTCAAACACCCCCTGCATCCCACCTTCAAACATGCCTTTTCCTGGGTGCCACGAGTAGGGGGAAGGTGATGATAATACCCTAGAAAGGACTTGGCAGAAAGAGCCTGTACCAAGTGTGATGAAGAACATGACAGAACCAAGGGTTTGTTCCTTGGAAAGACAGATGGTATTCCAGGGACAGAAACACCCTTGCCAGGGTCACATGCAGGAAAACTAAGCCTGAGAGTAGCTTTGGTCTGTGACTCCAACATCCACAAGGGAAGTGAGGCAAGGATCAGAAAGTGTCAGATTGCTGAGCTCCTTGCTTTGATCCAGCACAGAGGAGAGGTGAAGCATGGTGTTGGTTTGCAAAGCACAGGCAAGCACAGGGTGGCTGCACCCACTGTTGGTCTGCTTGCTTTCAGGCCAAGTGTTCACTTCTATACAGAGTTGTGTGCTACCTGTCTTCAGGGATGCACTGCTTTCAAACAAAAAGAGTGGAAGAGACACTAAGGAAGGACATCAATCTCCTTAAGCAAAAAAGAAAAAAAACATTCTTCTGCCTCTGATTCCCCCTTCTCAAAAAGAAACACCTCCTTGCCATGGTCTCCCTGGGGCTTTCTCACTGCTACCATCGCACCCACACCCTGCAATTCTTACCTCAAATGTTTCCACTAGAACATCTGCCGTTACCAAGGGCCAAAGGGGAGTTGGAAACTTCACAAAATCGACATCTAGGAAATTCTGTCGGAAGCGCTCCAGATTTCTGGCTTCATAGCGTAAGTCAATCTCAAGGGACAAATAGAAAAGCAGGTTGGAAATTAGAATCAACTAGGATTAGATCTTCAGGATCTAATCTGAGCTCAACTAGTTTTGTTGGTATTGAGCTGCAATACTCAATACCAACAAAACTAGTCAGAAAGCCAGAATGGAAACAAAGAGTGGTGCTTTTTACACACTCATAGCCTCCCTGATGGAAGAGGAGCAGACTGGATAATGGATGGTGCACAGCCAGGTCCCAGTCTTTGAAATATGGGTGCCTTACTAGAGGCATGGTGTCTCAAAATAGACTGGGACCATGTTATATTCAAAAATACAACAAGATTCTAAACTGAATCCTATCCTGAATGGAAGCTTGCTGTCCAAACAGCAAGGCAGGCGGACAGGATAGAAGAACTGCAGCCACAGCCTCACTTCACAGAGAGGCACCTGTAGCAGGAAGAAATTTAATGTAATTCATACAAAATAATACACTATGCCAAGTCCAAGCCCTGGTTCTTCAGTGATCCAGTGTCTTGACACAAGGGCATCTCTCCTGCTGTCTGCTGCTGCTCAAGGAGGCAGGATAACCTTGCCTCACCTCACTTGTCTGGCAGTGGGGAATATCCCAGGAATACTTTCTTGTTCATTCAAAGGGGAAAAGCTACAATGAGCCTATCAGGTGTTCTCCTAACTCTCAGTCTTCTGCACATCCACCCAAGCTCTGCCGAACTGGTACGAATGACCTCAAGTCACATCTGACCACAGTAACAGCTCCCAGCATGGATTTACTGTGCACAGGTTTTGGAATTGTAGAGAATAATTAAGGTTTTCAAAAGCTTGTTACACATTTCAGACTCTGCAATCTAGACACAAAAATGAAATTAGCAGATAATGGCTCATTTCATAGATACATAAACCTAATTAAGCCTGCAGTGAGATCTTTGTAAGTTTGATAGTAGCAATGTTCCAGGACTGTGTCTTTAGAAGACATTAGTAAATCAAGATGTTTTCAGATCTGCTTGCAAAATTTTACTGACACTGTGAGTCTGATGATAATACAGAGTAGAATGTATTATTAACTTCTGTAAAAATATTATTTATGCCTATATATATATATATACATATCTCAGTGCTAACAAACATGACTAGTGAGTACAGACTGCAAACATATATGTAGAATTATAGAAAAAACCCACATGCCTGAGTACTTGCTTGGAGAGATTCTTTCCTAAGGAGAGGAGTCTCACCAGTGTTCACCTTCCACAATGCTGCAAAAAGGACTCTGACTATGGCTAGCTAGCTGTTCAGGCTGTCCACTAGAAAACACATTCAAAGTCTAAACATTATTTTCAAAGTCTAAAAAATAATTTTAGATCTAATAAAGACTGTTTTTTCATTGCTTTGCTACTTTGTGAGCATATAAGCTTTCCTACAGTAATGTTATGTGATTTGATTAGACTAAAGAACAGAAGTAAAGAACAAGCCAGCCTTTATCTAACCATTTTAAATGTAGTGGTGTGAACAGAATTAGAGCCAGCCAGAGCAAGATAAAGGGCAGTTTTGTTTAGCTGGGGACCATGGCCTGGCACATACCTGCTGCATCATAAGCTTCTCAAACTCCTCCACAATCTCTGTCAAACTGAGCCACTTGAACCCAGGGAGAAGTCCAATGATGCGGCTGCCCATCTTCATGAGAAACAGATCCATCTGGACTTGGTGGACCAGCCCAGGGTGCAGGACCTGCACAAGAACGAGCAGTGGCAGCATCAACCCCCCAGACACTCCATTGCAATGAGCTCAAGTAATACCTTTCAAATATACAGAACCCAGCTTATTAGGATGGGAGGCAACTAGCTTCCTTGACTAGCCCTCAGAAGAATTCCCATTTTGCCATTGATTACGTCATAGAGAAACATTTTATCATTGTCAAATTCAGTGTATCAGTGCTGGAGACTATAGTTTCACCCAAAGACATTTTGCACTACTTTTAGTCTTGCCCCATCCCTTGTTAGTATTTGAAGCTGCTCAAATATAAGGTTTCTTTAAATAAACTTTGCTGGAACACACTTATATGTTCCAAATTTCTTCATGCGAGCAGAGAAGGAGGTTTGCTGTCTGGAAGGTGCAAGCAACCTTAATACTAATTCTTTTAATGTAACTTGGGCCCTTGGAGGCATTCCCAGTACCCACATGCCACATCAAATCTTGAGCTCTCAGTTTGGTGAGAGCTGGGGATTGTGGCTGGCTGGAACAAAAGCACTGAGAAAGGACACCAGGAGAGACGGCATCCCTTCTTGTTCCACCTGGCCCTGGCCAGCTACCTCTCTCCATGGGAGCTAAAATCTGACGGACCTCGTCCAGCACGCTCCATTTTCATACCTCCATCATTTCGGCACATGACTTACTTTAATGGCTACAGGCACGAGATGTCTGGCTGATGACGGATTTGCGTTCAGGGGTGGCTTGGCCCTCTGTTCCATTAGGGACATCCTACTCCCGGAACTTCCCTGGGAGCAGCCTGCAGAACTCAGTTCCTCCCTGCTCCTCTCATCCCGTATCTCCTTGCTCTTCCTCCTTCTCAGCCACCCGATGAGGCCTCTAAAGCCTGACACTTCCCACGCTTCCAAAGCAGACCTGAGCTCCGAGTGCTGCTCCAGCTCCTTCGCCCGGGAGCCGCCGATGGCAGCGAGGTCAGCATAGGCTTTATACACCTGGGCAACGCAGCCCGAGCCCACCGGCTCCCGGCTCGGGAACTTGAGGATGCCCATCCAGTCCTCACCGAAGGCCTTCCTCAAGAGCTCGTCGGTGTGGCCCCACGGGTGCGGGCTCACCTCGACATGCAGCTTGGAAAACTCATCACAGAAGGCCTCCGAGAAGAGGTCCCTGCGGGTGCTGGCCCACTGGCCCAGCTTGACACAAGTGGGGCCGGCGGCCTCGGCCGCCCTGCGCAGCAGCCGCAGCCAGCGGGCGCCCATGCCGGGCCACAGGCGGCCCAGCGGGTAGAGCAGCAGCAGCGGCCCGAAGCGCAGCAGGAGCCCGCAGGCGCGGACACCCAGCCGCAGCACCAGCGCCAAGCGCCGCAGCAGCCCCCGCGGCGGCCGCTCCGCCCCGCGCTCCGCCGCCCACGCCGGGCCCCGCTGCCCCGGCCTCTCCTTCCAGCCGGTCCCGGCGGGCACGGCCGCGGGC